GGCAAAATTCTAAATAATCACAGGTAATAGAAGCATTGTTAGCCTGTATCTGAACTTCTTCATCTATTATGGGTTAGAAACAGTTACCTCGGACATTTGCCACAATGTATACAAATAGCTTTGTTTTCATGGGAAGATATATTTACATTTCATATGTCTAATTCAACATGAACTGTCCTGTAAACTAGGAAATGTCAGTTTGAACTACAGAGACATAGAAGAGAACAAATCCAGGCTGTGTTGGTCACATTCACTTAGTTTGTTTTATAACTGTAGTATCTCTCACTCAAAGTTTCTCATTTACTCTAGCAGGGAGACTGAGACTATTAAGTAGGCAGTGCATTGTGCTAGGGTAATTCGGCTGCAGTTTCACCTGTCTCCCCACTCCTACATTTAAATGTACCCCGTGAAACTGAAGCGTGGTTCATCATCAGCACCATCCCGATTTCTTAAAGGTCGTTTTTTTTTTTTTTTAACCTGTAGAAAATGTAGTCAGATTTCATATCATCTTTGTATGTGGGATTCCCCTCTGTATGTGGTGAATAAGATTGGTGAATAAAAACTGGCTTGGCCTGATAGGGTGGAATAGAGATAGGTAGGGAAAACTAAACTGAGTGCTGGGAGAAATAAAGGCAGAGTTAGAGAGAAGCCATGTAGCCCCCACTGGATACGAACGCCAGAACTTTAGCCAGTAAGCCACAGCCACGTGGCCATACACAGATTAATGGAGATGGGTTAAATTAAGATGTAAGAGTTAGCCAATAAGAAGCTAGAGCTAATGGGCCAAGCAGTGATTTAATTAATACAGTTTCTGTGTGATTATTTTGGTTCTGGGTGGCCTGGACAAACAAGCAGCCTCCTCCAACACTTTGTTTCTTAGCCATTAGGATCTAATAGAGGGTCCTTAATCTTATGGGGAGTCAGGGAAGCCGGTTACATATGGGTTGGAAAGGAAGAAGCAAAAGATGAAATTGCATTGGAATTACCAGTTATTTTCACTATCCCAGATTACACCTCTGCTCACCCCTTTGCATCATGAATCTGAGCCTTGTGTTTTCTTTTGAGAATAAAATGAGGCAGAGCTTAGATCTGTGCATTTGCAGCCCAGCTTTCTGTAGGCCAAGACAGAACCGAAACTTGAGGGTTGGTCCCTCCTTCTGCTTCCCCTATGGTTTGGATTTGGTTGTGTGTGTGTACGTGTGTGTGTGTGTCTGTGTGTCTGTGTGTCTGTGTGAGGGTGTGCCACATGAGTGAGGGTACCTGTGGAGTCCAGAAGTCTGATCCCCTGAAGCTGAGTGGTTGAAAGCCAGGTGGCATGGGTGCTGGGAACTGAACTCAGGTCCTCTGGAAGAGCAGCGAGTATTAACAGCTGAGTCATGTCTTCCGAGAAAGCACCATTACATTAGTGTCTTCATGCTTGCTTAGAGAGACGTTAGACCTTAGACAGAAATGACAGCAAGTTAGGGTTTAGAGTTTAAGAAAGCAAGTATGGTGGCACATGCCTGTAATCCCAATACTCTGGAGGCTGAGATAGGAGGATCTGGAGTTCAAGGCCACCCTCAGCTGCACAGCCAGTGTGAGGCCAACCTGGGCTACCTAGTACCCTGTCTCAACGATGAAGAAGAATGCATAGCATTCTAATTATTCCTACCTTCCCATGTTTTCTAGATCTGCTACTGGTACAGTCCTCAGAATCTTCAGAGTAAGCTGTGTTGACTAGGAAGTGAGTGGCATGTACTAAAAGCCTGGACAATTTTGAATTAAAGTGCTCTTGCAAGTGTAATATTTCTTGGGCTATTTCTACATAAACCAGTGGTTCTCAACCTACGGGTCGTTTTACCCCTTTGAAAAACCTCTATCTCCAAAAATACTTACATCACATGCCATAACAGTAGCAAAATTAGTTATGAAATAGCAATGAAAATAATTTTATATTTGGGGGTCCCCACAACATCAACTGTGTTAGAGGGTCACAGCGTTAGGAGGGTTGAGAAGCACTGACATAAACCAACAAACAGCAGGTTCCAGCTTCGGTTGGTTTGATGTGTAGTGTGACCATCACAGCAAACAAGTCGGGAAATGCTCCGGGAACATCACCTAGGTGCCGTTGTGAGGGAGGCGGCTGCCACACTACCGTAGGCTCAGAGACACAGTAACAATCAGCTTATTGCTGGCTTTAGAATTCATTTTTCCTGCTGTGCTTTTGGTATATTTACTTTGTTTGAAAAGGGATAGACCCTGCCTGACCCTATGCAAAACTAAAGTTTGCACAGCTAGAAAATTGTGTGTCCCAACTGTCTCCAGCACTTCTTGAGCCTGCTACTTGGCCTTTTGCTCTTTGTGGGCGCCCTCAGGTGGCAGCATTGGGAACTGACACTAGTTGATTAACTTGGTTCTCAAGCCCTACTTTTGTGAGATAATTTTGCTTTTATTTAGGAAGTGAAGCTGCTTTGGATTAAGGGTTATGGGGAAGAGACAAGCTGACAGGAAGGAGTCAGAGATGTGTCTGGCAGTTGAGCCCTCAGGCAGCCATTATATTTGGTATCCTTTTAATCCTCTCAGGTAGAAACTAGAAGTCTTTAATTTTTTTTTAATGATTATTTTTCTTTTACATGCATTGGAATTTTGCCTGCATGTATGTCTGTGTTAAGGTGTCAGACCCCCTGGAACTGGAGTTGCAGACGGTTGTGAACTGCCATGTAGATGCTAGAATTTGAATCCCAGTCCTCTGGAAGAGCAGCCTTGTCTCCAGCCCCCTAGAAATGAACCCCTGTCTTCTGGTGGCAGCAGCTACTGCAGTGCTTAAGATACAGTGGTGGTGAGATGGAGTCAACCCCGACCAGGCCAGCGCAGGGTCTGATAGGAGGTCTGTCCCTTCAGTGCCTGCAGAGCAGAAGTAGGTGCCGCACTGAACAGACACAAGAGGCTGTAAACCTGAGATCTGCCCAGAATGCCTCCTCTAACCCCATGTACGAACTCTCTTTTGTCCCCATCCCCTTATTTGAAAGAAACAAAACTAAAGGCAGACAAGCCACCAGGCACAGGGTAAGGCCACTGTGTCCTAAGAATAACGACCGCTGGTCTGAAGCTTCCCTAGGAAGGTATCCTTAAGCTACCAGAAAGGCATTTTCTTAGACAAATAGCCGCCGGCCTCAGACAACTAAAAACTTGATAAAAATGCCTGTTCTTTTCTCTGTCTTAATATAGGTTAAAAGAGAAACTTGAATTTTCTTGAAGGAGCATTTCACTAACTTAGATAATGAGGCAGAAAGTCGGGGTAAATATTTTGTGAGCGAATTAATTGGGAGATGATCTGTGTGACAGGTTTGCTTTGTTTACATAGTTTGGTTTGAGACAGGGTCTCTCTGGGTTGCCCAGGCTGGCCTTGGGCTTGCAGTTTACCTGCCTCAGCCTCTTGGAGTGCTGGGTTCTAGGTGTGCCACCCCCTCTCCCACTTAGGAGCTCCTAAGGCTCTCAAGCGTGAGATTGAAGTCTGGAGGAGTGAGAAGCTCCAGAGTTTCTTTTTTTCTTCACTATTGATAGTTTGGTGAGATGAAAACTCTTTGTAGAGGAGCATGATTTTCAGGGAGACTTCTTTTAATTATATTTAATGGTATTTCAAAAGGAGCAGCTGGCTTGGAAATTATAGTAATAACTTTTAACATTTAACAGAGGATAATAATCAGCTGCTGGGATTTGAGTAAGGGACAGGAAAAATGAAGCCAGGGTTAAGATTATAGACAGTGTGTGTTCTGAGGTTCAGTGCACCGGTTAGCAGTAGGTGGTGAAATTCTGTACTGTCTGGTAGTGAAGACAAGGGCCGTAAGTAGCAGTTCTGTAATGAGAGTGGCAGACAAGCAGCGGCACCCCAGCACTTAGTCTCAGAAGGCTGTTTCTCTGTGTGCGCTCAGAACATTTCATGAAACAGTCTCCCATAGTAGTTAACATAGCACCAGAGTGCAGACAAACGTGCAATGCCCCTCCACCTCTGTTGGTAACAGCACCAAACTGCCATTCAGTACACTTTTCTAGGTATTTGAAACCGTGCAGTCCAGGAAGGCAATTAATTCCAGAATAAAAGTATGTAAAAGTATGCAAAGCGGTGATTCTTTCAAAAAATTTTAAAATTCTGTGTGTGTGTGTGTGTATCTCTGTGTGTTCATACGTGCACCATAGCACATGTATGGAGTCAGAGGACCACTTGAATCTGTTCTTCCCTTCCCCTGTGGGTGCCAGTTGATTGAACACCAGTGGTCAGGTTTTCCCACCAAGCAGCTTTACTCACTGACCCGCCTTGCCTGCCTGATGCATTTTGACCACTGATTCTCTTTCAGATTACAGACTTCTTTGGGGATGGATGGTCGGTCTGTTCCTGTGCACACTTGGCCTTGCATTGTGTTTAGAGGCTCAGGCTCTCCTGCACCCCTTCTTCTTACTCTACTCCACTCTCTAGGCCTGGTCCCTGTCCCAAGTGGCATGAGGGCCCTGAGTAGGTGTGGTAAGGGCCCGGGTTTGGGTGCTTGTGCTGGCAGGACACAGGTGTCTGCTTCCACAGGAAGTCACACCTCGGATGAGAGTCCCTTCTGTGACAGTTTAGCAGGACGTGCCTGAGCACAGGTGCTCCTTCCACCTCAGCGGGAATGTGGTCAGGAATGTGACTTTCTGCGAGCTGCGTTACCGAGCACCTCAAGTTCCCTCCTTCCTGGGGAAGGGTAGTGACTAGCAGAGAAACAAAGCAGAGTTAGAAAGCACCACCCAGACTACCAGCAAGACAACTGTTAGTATGCTAATGCTTTGTGTTTTCAGTTAATGGTTTGTAAAATGTCTCATTTTAAGTATTTGCAGCTTCTTGCTGAAATCTGTGCGATTCAGTCTTGAGAAGTTGAATAACTATTTGCTTTGGGGATTGTTTGTCACTGAGGCAGTTCCTCTTTAAAAGTTCATTCATCAGGTATGTCTGCCCAAGATTCTCACGGGTTCTCTTTCCTTTTCTATTGCAGCGCTTTAATCTTGGGTGCATCAGGTGGAGTTGGTACTTTTGCGATACAGGTAACAGACTTTTTTAATCTTGTGACTGGGAAGGTTTTAGTTTCTATGAATTTATAAATTCGTATATTATAAATTAGTTTTCATTGAAAACTGGGTCTAGTGTATGGTTAATTTTGTCAGCTTGAAACCAGCTATAGTTACCCGAGAAAAGAAGCTTCCATTAAGGAATCGCCTCCATCAAATTGCCTTGCTTGTAAGCATGTCTGTGGGGCATCTTCTTGATCAATGTTTGGCACTGTGGGCAGTGCCATCCCTGGGAAGATGGTCCTGGGTTGTATAGGAAAGCAAGCTGAGCAAGCCATGGAGAACAAGCCAGTGAGCAGTTCCCCTCCATTGCCCCTGCATCAGCTCCTGCCTTAAGTTCCTGCCCTGACTTCCTTGGACATAGTCTGTAAGCTGAAATACTTTACTCCCCAAATTGGTTTTGGTCAGTGTTTTAACACAGTTACAGAAAAGTAGGGCATCTAATAAATGCCTTTTAATTTCAGTGACCCAAATGAACATGTTCTGATATAAAAAGGAAACATTAACCTTTCCATTTGTTTAGCATGGAAAAGTTGAGTTTGTGGAGCGAAACCATTTGGGAGGAAGACCATGGTGGTGGATGTAGATAAAAGTTTGCAGTTAGCAGTAAACAGCATTACCAAAAGAAGGAGGGAGAGAGAGAGAAAGCATAACAAGACTACAATGGAAAAAATTAACTATCCAGAGAGAAACCTATACATGCGTGGTCAGTTTTGTTTTTTATACGTCTGTAAGTATTTGTGCAGGTATATGCCATGTGTGTGCTGATAGTCAGAGAGGTCAGAAGAGGGTGTCGGATCTCCTGAAGTTAGAGTTACAGGCGTTATGAACTGGTAACTGATGTAGGGTTTTGTGGGTGAGCAGCCAGTGCTCTTAGCTGAACCATTGCTCTGGCCCCATCATTTCATTTTTAACAAGGATGGCAGAATGGTTAAGTGAGGGGAAAATGTCCTTCCAACAGACGATGAGACAACTGGATGCTCACCTAAAAAGAAGGGAATTGGATCTTTATCTTACATGATACACAAAAATAATTCAAGGTGGATCAGAGAGTTCAATGTAAGAGCACCAACCATAAAACTCTTAGAAGAGACCAGCTATAAATATTCATCTCCTGTGATTTGGCAGCAGATCCTTAGACGTGACACTAAAAGCATAAGCAAAGCAAGTTGAGCTTTATCAAGTTAAAAAATCTTGATACATCAAAGAGCACCATCAAGGAGATTAAAAAAAGCAACCTATGTGTCTTGGTTACTTTTCTTGTAGCTGTGGCAAAATATGTGAAAAGAATACTTTGAGAGGACAGGAAGTGTTTTGGTTCACAGTTCATCACAGTGGGGAAGTGCTGAGGACTTAATGCTGTTTAAATAAAACATAGGGCTGGAGGGCTGGCTCAGTGGTCAGGAGCTGGAGGGCTGGCTCAGTGGTCAGCGGGAGGGGCTGGCTCAGTGGTCAGCAGCGGGAGGGGCTGGCTCAGTGGTCAGGAGCTGGAGGGTTAGCTCAGTGGTCAGGAGCTGGAGGGGTGACTCAGTGGTCAGCAGCTGGAGGGGTGACTCAGTGGTCAGCAGCTGGAGGGCTGGCTCAGTGGTCAGCAGCTGGAGGGCTGGCTCAGTGACTAGGAGCACTGGTTTCTCTTCAGAGACTGGGGTTTGGTTCCTTGCACCCTTATGGCAGCTCACAACTGTCTGTCACTCTAGCCTTGGGGTTCAATATGCATAAAATGAACATGAATCTTTAAAGAAAAGCATGTAATAGATGCAGGTCTTTAGCACGTTATTTCCTTTCCTCCACAATGCTTTGCATATATTTTGGGGACAAGATGGTCATCTTAGACTTCACCCTGGGACTTTGACTTGCTGTCAGGACTTGCTGTTGAAAGCAATGTATTTCTTTACTCCAGAGTCCCTGTCTATGGCCTACAAACATAATAAACTATATATGTTACCCTTTCTCAGTGGTTCAATTTTCTCAGATTTTCAGGTTATATGAATCCTTGGGAAATACTTATGTTTTTGTTTTGAGATAGAGTCCGGTACATCATAGGCTGACCTTAAACACTCTATATGGTTGAGAATGACCTTGAGTTTCTGATCCTTGGCTCTGTATCCCAAAGGGCTAGGATTGTATATTGATATCCATCCCAAATTTCTGATAAATCTGAAGTGTCTTGCTTGATGCTAGACTGGCAATAGTCCCTGTTAACTTTATGAAATTGACAGTATAGAAAAGTATATCGGGTTTGGAGGGTGATTTCAGATACGTAAACGTGAGTGACATTAGAATTATGTCCTCTTGTATTAAGTCTGTACTTGGGTTTTAAAGACAAGAGACCATTTATCTGGGCCTTCGTACTCCAAAGGAGAGGAACCAATTCTTGTTCTAAAACTAAAATGTTCATATTTTCCTATTAACCTTGCATCTGATAGCAGACCACTATACATGTTTCCAGATGTGCTTGTGTGTGTGCATGTGGAGCCCAGAGTGACGCTGCTTCTTCCATTCTCTCCATCACGTGAAGCTGTGCTCACTGATGTGGCTCCAGGGACCCTGCTGTCTCTGCCTCCCCGGTGCTGGGACTGTAGGCATGTACTGCCATGCCTGACCTTTACATGCTGCTGGGATCTGAACCTAGGTCCTAGTGCTTACCCAGCAGGCACTTTGCCCATCTGCCCATGGTCTAAGTAATTCTGAAGCACTGATTGAAGACATTCTGGAGATGCAAATGAGGAGATGCTGCATTGTTTTGTTCTGGGTGCTTTTCCTGTGTTCCCGTCCTGAGGATGTGTGATGTTTGTTTCTCTGTTTTCTCTGCTATTTGCCCTCTGTCATTGAAGCTGCTTCACTTGAGGCTGTGGCTCTCCTGGTTTTTCTGATCCTGGTGGGGCACTGCTTACACTCAAGACAGAAATGTGGCTTTGCCTACGGAAGATGAGCGCTGGTGGGATTTTCCTGACCGTTGTAACCGGGTCTGATAGGTGGCCTTTTGCAGTTCTTGCTGACCGAGGATGTAGAAGTTCTAGAGATTACCATGATATGTGTACACCTGGTGCCAACGTTTTCTATTTAAAAAATGCACTTTTTTTTTTTAACTTTCCCCTCGTACCTCCCTCCCGTGGCAGATAATGAAAGCATGGGGCGCTCATGTGACTGCAGTTTGTTCTCAAGATGCCAGTGAACTTGTAAGGAGGCTCGGAGCAGACGAGGTCGTTGATTACACGCTGGGAAGCGTGGAAGAGCAGTTGAAATCTTTAAAACTGTAAGTAGTGGAGCAAAGCTGCTGTTGGCAGGACGGCACGGGTACAGTTGAGCGTGCAGGTCTGAGGCCACCAGTGTGGTGGCTTCACAGTCAGGCTGGAATCTTCTGAAAGACTCTTAAAGCATTCCTTGTCATTTGGATCCATTTCCACATGGTATGTACTTTGGAAGTTATTTTTATACATGGTCTGATGATTTTAAGGCTACAAGATTGGGATGTGATTCCTTCTGTGGCATCATCCCAGGAAGAATAGAGAGGAGGGCACAAAACCACACGATTACTCCTAAACACATTTCAATGTTTTGGCTCCATTAAGGGCATAAGAAAACATTGCTGGCAGGGATCAGGGTATGCGGAATGCCTGAAAGCCAGCCTGTGGTTTGGCCTAAGAGACCAGATAGGACTGACTGGGGTTCTCTCAGGCCCTGTTGCTCTTGCCTCTGGCCTGTTAATTTGATCTCCGTTAGCTAAGGCAGAACTGAATCTGAAAGTGCAGCTCACAAGTATTTGCCCACAATTTCAAAGGTTTTTCTTTCTTTTTTAAAATCCATCTTCAGAAGCCAGTTTTTCTTGGCCACACTGACTAGATGTGTAATATTGAAGGATGAAAACACAAGGTCCTCTTCTCTGCAGTGCTCCCTGGAGCAGCCAGCCAGAGCCTGTGTATTCTGTCCTTCAGGGCGCTTCATCTCTCATCAGGACTGTTGTAGACACCAGATGCTGGTGAACCAGACACATTCCTCCTTTACAGAGCCTACTTTCCTCTTTTGGATTAGTGCCTAGTGCTTGTCCAGTCAGGACTCTGTGCTGTGATGAAACTCCATGTCTGAAGCAACTTGGGGAGCAAAGGATGTATTTGGCTTGAGCTACCATGTTACTGTTCTTCATCAGAGGAAGTCAGAACAGGATCTCTAACAGGGTAGGAACTTGGAGACACAGAGGCCATGAAGGGGTGCTGTTTACTGGCTTAATCCTCATGGCTTGCTCAGCCTGCTTTCTTATAAAAGCCAGAACCACCAGCCCAGGGGTGGCACCCGTCACAGTGAGCTGCCCTCCCCCATCAATCACTAATTAAGAAAGTGCCTACTGGTTTGCCTGCAGTCAGATCTTTGGAGGCATTTCCTCAGTTGTGCCTTTCTGCTCTCTGATTACTCTAACTTGTGTCAAGTTAACATAAAACTAGCTAGCACAGCTTGACAAACACAGTACTGTTAATATACAACCTTTCCTTTTTTATTTGTACTGAAGATCACACGTTAATAAAGGTATTATAAAATGTTTTACAAACTTTATTAAAAAGCCCCAGAGCCTTACAAATTCAAATACTTCAAAAGTTGTCTCTTTAAAAACATTTAATCTTTTTAAAATCTAAAATCTGTTAAAAGTCCCAAATCTCTCAAGTTTAGAAATCTCTCCACTTGGGCTCCGATAAAATCAAAAATAAACAAAGTATACTTTCTTACTTCAAGAGGGAAGAATCATGGCACATTAACTGAACAAAGCAAAACCAAACTCCCAACAGTATAAATAACTCATTGTCCAATATCTGGGATTCACTCACAGTCTTCTGGACTCCTTCTAGGGGCTGAGGTCACTTCCCTGGCTTCACCCTCTGCAGCACAAGCACTTGTCCTCTAGCTGGGGCAGGCTCCACTCCCCACTGCTGCTGTTCTCGGTGGTCATCACATGGCGCTGGCATCTCTAAAATGCTGGGGTCTCCATTAGCTTCTCCTGAGCTCTCTTCATGGTGGCAAGCCTCAGCTTCTCTGCATAATGCCTTCAGTCCTGGGCCTTCAGCTGTCCCTGAGGCTGCATCTTCACCAGTGGTCTCTCCTGGCCTCTCAATGTTCTAAGCATCGGCTACTCTCCATGACCCCGTCATACTTTCCAAACCAGTACCACCTGGGTGACTCTTACACATTACCAAGTTCAGCTGTCAATGTGAGATACAAGCTTGGCCACCTCTGGAACACAGCTTCTGTGCGCTGACTCTCAGGAAACACTTCCCAGAAGAACTCATCTCATTGACGCTGGTCTCTTCTTAATCACTGCTAACTTCCTAGCTCCAGCTGACAAGCATCCATTGTCCCAGTAATAGAAAGGTTTTACTTTAGTGTTTTTGGTCTCTTGTTAATCACAACTCATTCTTCAGCTAACCAGAACCATGGGTTCTCAATTTAAAACAAATGGATTTGATAGAGAGTCTTTAAGGAACTCTCAAACTTCCCTCTAGAACTCCACAAGCCAGGTCCCCATGGTCTGCACTGATCTCAAAATTATTTTCTTCCAAGCTGGCACAGAACAGCTTACCAGGCTCTCAACGCTCAATGGCTTTTCTCACCCAAAGTCCAAAGTCCTTCCAAAACCCTCTCCAGAACAACATGGTCAGGTCTGTCACAGCAACACCCCTGGTACTAATTTCTGTCTTAGTTGGGGTAACTTATTGTGATGACACACCATGATCAAAAACAACTTGGGGAGGAAAGGGTTTATTTGGCTTCTACTTCCGCATCACTGTTCATCATGGAATTAAGTCTGGACAAGAACTCAAATGGCAGGAGCCTGGAGGCAGGAGCTGATGCAGAGGCCTTGGAGGGCTGCTGCTGCTGGCTTATTGTCTTCATGGCTTGCTTGGCCTTTTTTTTTTTTTTTATAGAACCCAGGACCAACTGTCCAGGGGTGACCCCAACCAACAGTGGGCCTCCACATCAATCACTAATTAAGAAAATGCCTTACAGTTGGATCTTATGGAGGCATTTTCTCAATTGAGGCTCCCTCCTCCCTGAAGTGTTACAGCTCTGAGGGGAAAGTTACCCTGGCAGTCAAGAGCCAAGGAGTACCGCAAATACACCACACAGCAAACTGCACATAAGAGATTTATAGGGAGCAGAAGCAGAGAGAAGAAGATAGGCTTTATGTAGGGTTTCTTGGGGAAGTGGTGGAGCTTTCCAGAGCGGGGATTGGTGGGATTTCAAGTTCTAAGGTTGGGCTTTTTACTTTGGTGGAGCTTAGCCACCTGCATCTGGAGGGGCTGGGTCTGGCTATTATAGCTGGTAGTGTTCTGTGGGCAAAGCCTGGTGGTTGGAGGTCCTTGGGGGCAGGACCTGGCCACTTGCTGGGCTTACACAAAGGTCATTGCCAACCCATTCTCCTCTATTGACCTTTAGTAGTATAATGTTTGTAAGTTGTTTACAGAGGAGAACCTGAAGGCTGAAAGACACTTAGTCTGTCCTCTCATAGCAATGTGACAGTCCCCTCAGCTTCTTTGGCAAGTGCTCTTGCCTTCTTGATTGTACTCTTCCAGTAGGGGGCTTTCCTTCTTTCCCTCCCTCCCTTTCTCCTCTCTTCCTCTTCCTTCAACAGTGTCTTGCTTTTCTATTGCTGTAAAGAGACACCATGACCAAGACAACTTTTAAAAGAAAGCATTTCACTGAGGGCTTGCTTACAGTTTCAGAGGGTGAGCTCCTAACCATCATGGTGGGAAACATGGCAGCAGGCAGGTAGGTGTGGCACTGGAGCAGTAGCTGAGGGCTTGCATGTTGAGACAACACAACAACAGCACACACACACACACACACACACACAGAGAGAGAGAGAGAGACAGAGACAGAGAGAGAGGTGAGAGAGATTGTGTCCACTAACTGAGAATGACATGGGCTTTTTAAACCTCAAAGCTGATCCCAGTGATACATGTCCTCTAACAAGGCCACACCCCAAACAAGTTCCACCAACTACAAACCAGTCATTCAAATATACAAATATTTGGGGGGGGCATTCTCATTCAAACCCCAACAGTTTAGTTGAAGTTGATCATTGTAATTATAACCTCTGCCCAAAGGTTGAACTCTGAATTTGCCTATAGAAAATTTGTGACTTCTTCCAAGTTGCAGTTTTCTTGATGTTATAGTGATTTCAGCACGAGAGAGTTAAATTCTTTTTAGTGCTATCACATCATGGTTGAGAAGGCAGAGGCAGGGGCTTTTGGGTGTTAGCTCAAGGTCACTAATCATTCCTGGGATAATTCAGCCTACAGGTTGTCCCAGATTTTTCTCACATGGTGCCCAGTAAGTAATAGCAGTTTTAAGTTTTCCACAAATTAAATAGCCTCATATTTGTTACTAATGCATTAAGAATACAGTATAAACTTTGCTAATGAGAAGTGTGATCCTTTAGGAAGGTCACTCTCCTGCCTTTTGTAGCCTTTATTTTTTTCTCTCTTTAGCTTAATCCCATAAAAGACTCTGTATCCTTGAAGCTGGCCAAAACTATCTTAAAAGCTTTGATGTTTTGACTTCCTCCAGATGAATTTGGAAGAGGGAAACTTAACTCAGGAGGAATTTACCAGTTGATTTACTTAATTTATACACATGCATTTTCTAAAAGAATATTGTTTTTAAAAGTGATGAATGAAAAGCTTTTGTGGGTTTTTATCCCTTTGGGTGCAGTATAGTGATTATAGCATTATTATGTTAGATTAGAGATCTGAATATCTGTCAGTTCTGTGGATTCTGTTAGACAGTTTGGGGGCATGGGCAGGTCAGAGTAGCAGTGGAGGCTAAGAGGAGGGTGGTTTTTTTTCATGCATTATCCTGATGTTATACATAAAATACACAAAAAGAAATTCTGGAAGGTAAAGAGGATGCATTTCTGATTGTAGAGGGGATAAAGGCAAGTCAGCCTTACAGACACTCTGTATATCTTTCTTTTGAGTAGTCATGTGTACTGAGAAGCTACTGAAAGGACAGATCTGCAGTCGTCTTCAGGGTTGATATCGGGTTCCTCGACCTGGACAGCCTGAAGTCTACCAGTGACTTATAGATTTACCTGTATACTTTTTCGGTGTAAGACTCTGTTCTCTTCATATTAACTCAAATCACCCCAATTCAGAACCACTTGCTTACATCTTTCTTAAGGTATAAGATATAAGAAAACTAGTAATAAGAAATTAGTTGCGTTTTAGCTTTGGGGAAAAAAAGGTATAAGTGGAAGGGAGTGGCTGTGCCTTCTCCCCTCTCAGCCACCCCTTGGGATGACACAGTGCCACATGGTGCATGCGCTGTCATTGAATACACCTTGACAACCAAGTGAAAGATCTGTGCCCGTGTAGAGACTGGCAGACTGTTTTTATTTGATTCTTCCCCTCCAGGTTTGACTTTATCCTTGATAATGTTGGTGGATCTACTGAAACATGGGCTCTATATTTTCTCAAGAAGTGGTCAGGAGCCACCTATGTGACGCTGGTGACTCCTTTTCTCCTGAACATGGACCAACTGGGCATTGCTGATGGCATGTTGCAGACAGGAGTCACCATGGGTACCAAGACCTTGAAGGTAGGAAGGCAAACCTTGACTGGTGCGAGTGAGCAAGTGCTTTGTACCACTGGTTTTGCCACCTGGCCACCTCCTCCTCTTACCACAGTGGCTGCCTGCATGGTCTCTAGATTCACACAGCAGGACTCAAATTCTGTCTAGTAGCGGTGTGACCCTGTGCACGTACATTCCTTACTGTTTTGCCCATAAGGTAAGGCTGCTGATCTGTGTTTACTGCACTGCTGTAAGCGTTAACTAAGATAATCCACATGAAGAGTGTGGCACAGGCCTAGGGCATCAAGACTCTCTTTAACTTCTTTTGATGAGCTGTTATTGCTTCTCTGGATTCATCTGATACACCTTCCTGCTTCCTACCTCTACCTGATGGTTTTCTTTCTCACCAGTCTTAAAACACAGTCCCTTGTACGTAAGGTAGAGGCTTGTTTCCTGTTGCTGCAGTCATGTAACAGTAGATATCGCACCTCTAGAGGTCTGTGGGGTTCAGAAACCTTAAGGAAATTGTACTTTTACCTAGAGGCTATGGATACTGATGGAACCGTCATGCCTTTGCCGTCCCGTCATTCCACACCCCCAGTGAACTGTCAAGATTGGTGACGTGATGGGAGTTTTGGGGACTTCAGATTAGTCAGGTTGACTGTGTTGATAGGCCACGGCTTCTGGGACTGTACAGTGCTCCAGTGCCCAAGCTGAATGCCCCCGGAGACTGGTGGGCCTTGGGAATTAGTGCTTATAGCCTCAGTTACAGGACTGAGGAAGGGCTTAAAGTGTCTCCCTCTACTTAGTGCCATCACCTCTGGTCACCACAGTGGGGACAGAGGCTGATGTAGTAATTTCAGGTTATAAGTTGGTGCAGTTCTAGAGTATTGAATTGGAGTGAAATGGTATACATGATAGAAGAAAATAAAGATAAATGCTGTTTTTTAAACTACTTCCTTTTCTTTGAAAAGGAAGTAGACAGACCCTCAAGGTCCACCTGTGTGGACCCAGGCAGCTATCACCATGTTCAGTGTGCTAACTATCTTTAGCTTTCTTTCCCATTCCCTCTTCCTTCCTTCCATCAATTTCTCTTCTTTTTTATGCTTGATTTTTAATGAGGAACCAGGGATTGAACTTGGCCTTACATACATGGAGCAAGAAGTGCCGCTGAGTCACACCCTGGCTCTTGAGAGGTCTTTTTGTTTGTTTGTTTTGTTTTTAGATGGGGTTTCATTATGTAGGTCAGGTTTACCTGAAACTTGTGTTCCTCCTGCCTCTGCCTCTGCCTCCCAAGTGCTTGGATTACAAGTGTGTGTCACTGTGGTCAGCCTTTAACTGCTTTTTAAAGAAAATTCATGATTTTTATCTTGTGTGTATGCATGTATTGATTGCATCTGTGGATGTGCACTGCGTGTGTATCTAGTGCCATCAGAGGCCACAAGAGAGTGCTGGATCTCTTGGAATTGGAGTCGAGGACAGTAGTAAGCTGTCAGGAAGGTGCTGGGAACCAAACCCAGGTCTTCTGTAAGAACAGCAAGTGCTCTTAACCCCTGAACCATCTCTACCCTCCTAGTTGCTTCTTTATGCTCGAAATGAACTTGGGCACCATTAGGAGATTAAGACGGGTTTCTTAGAAGCACAGACTCACCTTGTTTAAGGCGAAGAGCTGTGAGGAAGCACAGCACTTTAGCCTGCCTGCAGAGTGTGGTGTGGAGCTGAGCAGAGTGCACTCTGCTTCTGCCAGTGTCCAGAAACAACCGCTTAAGGAAAACCACATGGTAGCTGTTGGCAGAGGAAGGAATCTGGACTGTTCTTTGTGCGCTGTTAGGAATCAAGTAGTTCGCTTCACAGAGGAATGTGTTGTGAGGGACTTAGATGTGGCAGTTGTAACCATTTTATTTCCCCCTTTAATGCCCCGGATAGTTACCAGAATGTTTCACTGTGGTCCTGGAAGCCGCAGCAGACTGTAGGAGAATCAGTTGAACAGGTCTGCTGTGTTTATCATTTACTGGGTGAGCCCTGTGCTGCGAATATCAGTGCATCAGTGTCTAGCCACATACGCGGTACAGAGCCTTTTACTGTTAGAGTTTTCATGACTTATGCATTCAGTTGTATGACTCCATATGTGGTCATGACCCACAGTTTAGGAAGCTTTGCTCTAGAGAGTTGTGACTAGATAGACTCCCAGCCTTGCAGGTCACATGACAGAGCCTGGGCTCAGGGATTGTCAAGCCAAGGCTGGCCTCAGTGAACAGTCTGCCCTCACTTTGCAGTTGTGTGTAGGAGCAGGCAGGACAGTAGCATGGACCTAAGTGTCCTTACTCATCTCTGAGGACTCAAGCCAGCTTGAGCTGTCTCGGAGCTTGGCTTACTGCTGTTTTGATAATATCTCACTCACTTCCTGCAGAAAGTTGCCACTGTTGAGTGCAGCCAGGGCTACATGGTGAGATCCTGTTATAAGTGGTACAGAAGTTGAGTGGAGGAACCCTTTCCATGTAAGAATTTTGCTCATCTATCAAGTTGAGAGGTTCTGTTCTACAAAGCCTGGGTAGTGTGACAGTCACAGTAACTACAGTGGTAGCTGGGCCGCCTGATTAGACCCAGCCAATATAAAAGCAACTTCATACCCTTTCCCTGAAGCTTCTTATTCCTGACAGAATCAAAAAGAAAAAAAAATACAATTGAATCTTCTCTAAGAGCATGTTTTAGTGACTCTCATTCCTAAAACAGTTTTAAATGTAGTTTTTGTGCCTCTTGACTTCCTGCAAACCTCCAGGCCCTGATTCCTCATAGGTAAGCAGTTCAGCACATGAGACATTCAGGCTGTCATTTAAGGAAAGCTTTTCTGTGTCAGCCATACATGGAGACCCTGAGTTGACATGGGTAGGTCTTGTTCATTTGCTTATGCTAAGGTTCTGAGTATATAATCATGTGTCAACGTGGTACGGGAAACGGGTTCATTTGTCTTGGTCCTGCAGAAAATGTCTTTGGTTAGCTGCAGTCTCTTTTCTATACCCTCACCATAATTATTTTCTTCCTTTCAGCATTTCTGGCAAGGGGTTCATTACCGCTGGGCCTTCTTCATGGCCAGTGGTCCATATCTAGATGAAATTGCAGAACTGGTGGACGCGGGAAAGGTAGGTCCACCCAGAAACCCTTTTCCTGGTAACTCTGTCTTGTTGACACTCTTCTTGTAGACTGTCCACCAGGCCTCATCCCTGGGAACACTCCGGGAAGAGGGGATGGGGTATGAGGAGGGTGCTGTGGTTTTTTTCTATTGCCATGCCAGTCATGGTGAGACTGCTCAGTCTGCACAATAACTTAGCCTGTTTAGTCTACCTGTAAGCCCGTCAAGGCGTACAAGTGGCCAGCCACCCCCCCCCCCCCCCCCCCCCCCCCCCCCCCCCCCCCCCCGCCCCCCCCCCCCCCCCCCCCCCCCCCAACGACTAGTCTCTGCCTCTGGTGATGAAGGCAGCCAAGCTCTGCCCTACAGAAAAAAAACACCCAAGATCAGGCCATAGAATCCCACCAGTCACAGGCTACCCTGGAAAGCTCCCCCCACTCCAAAGAAACCTTGCCTCCTGCTCAGCTCTCTGCTACTTCTCTTGAGAGTAGAGGCAGCCACCCTCTTGTGACTTCCAATGCATTTCTTGTGTGAGGTTTGTTGTGCAGTGTGACTTTGTGGTATTCCTTGGCTCCTGACTGCCAGGATACCTTTCCCTTCAGAGCTGTAACACTTATACTACCCCCTTTGTTTATAGATCAAGGGACAAGCTAGGGAGAGGCATTATATGATAGTTCTAAAGGTACGGGTTTATTGAGTAGCAGAAGTGGGATCTGAGCTGGGTGACTGGTATTTGGTAACAATCTTTGAGAAATGGAACCCTCTGCACAAAGGGGAGCGGGTGCTTGAAATTTCTCAGGAAAACTCCTGGAGCCTCCTCAGTCTGATGGTGAAGCTGCCCAGGAGGTGAGCCGTTTTCCAGATAACAGGGAGAACAGTACTGGATCTCAACCCCCTAATACCTAGGTGAGAAGTGGTTCCTCAGGCCTTCAGAAGAGTGCAAGTATGGGTGAGGATTGATGGGAACTTGAGCAGAGACAACAAGTTGCTTTTCTATGATGTCTAATGCCTGGCCAGTAGGGTACTTTGCAGAAAATGAACGTTGCTGAGAGTTTTAGTTCTCCATTTGAGGGTATTAACATACTTTTCAGGGCTCGTGGAGGGTGAAAGCCTCCCCAGATTACACCTTCAGTAATTGTTCTTTTTTTCTTTCTTTTTTCTTTTTCTTTTTTGTAAATTCTCTCATATAAGACATTCCTACTACAGTGTCCCCTCCCTCCATTCCCTGCTCCCTCTTACTCCCCCTCCTGCCCTCCATTTCCCCTCTATCCTAAATTCTCAGTGTTGCTTTTTAAACATTTAAGGTTTGTTGGTTTGTTCAATTCTGTTGTAGTCAAGGAACTATATGGTTTGTGATAGCCCAGATTAGTAGGAACTGTTTTTGGTTTTAAGTTTGTGAACCTTTTTATGGACTTCTGTGTCTTGGTGCATCCCGAGTAGAAACAGGCTCACATTTAACATTTATAGGATTCTTCCACATCCCACAGGTATGCTTCCTTTAATGCTACAAAGAATGGAACCATCACTAAATAAGAGAGTGTTTCATGGGGCCCCATGGTCACTGTGTTTGTCCTCCAGGAGTGCACACACACATGGTGTTGTTTGTCCTGATGTCTGCTCACACTGCCAAATGCTTGTCACATAGTATTCAAAATATTATGATTTTGTCTCTACTTGGAAATGTCTATTTACCCAACAGAGATGAGAGGGGATTTGTATATATGCACCCATTAAATTTGGCGAATAACCAGTAGAACAGCTGAGAAGGGACATGGAGGAAGAAGATGCCTTTGAAATGTACCTGAAGGAGGACTCTTTCTACTGCTCAGATGTTAGCTTTGGAAGTTGTTTTAACAGGGAAGAGCTCTGGGCCTGCATAAGCCGATCGGTGGCTGTGGGTACGATGAGGTCAGGCGTCTTGTCATGTCCCTGCTGTGATCTGAAGGTGATCACTGTCTCTGTCTACTGGGAAATTGTGAGGGGTAACAGCAGACATTGCAGACTGTGCCATTAGAAAAGACTTGCTCAGCTGGACAAGGACAATCCAGTTCTTCAAAGCTCTGAGGAGTACTTAGTGAGTCTGGTTAGCATGAGCCTGAGAGAGGAGTGTAGCTGCTGTCTCTGTAAAGTTGTAAAGGCACAGAACAACTAAGCCAACTGCTCTAAGTTGGATAAATATATTCATACGGTTCAAAATCTGGAAGTGGAGGTTATTTCAAAAAACCACTTTTGACGCCATCGCTCAGTCCCTGAGCTTCTGCTCGTTATACAAACCAGTATGACTAGTTTATTGAAAATCCCAGAGGCATTCTATCCAGACAGGAAAAGACAAGTGAGTCCTGAGTCATTTCTCACCTCCCTTTTGTTTTTAGACACCCTTCTTAAATTTATTTCATATTAGGACAATAAGATGTTCTCTAGGCCTTGTTTTGTAAATAGCCTCATTAATGTTCCTTTGCGCAGGTGTGCCAATAGTTATCTGATGGTTTACAAGTATAGCATCCGTAGAAAGCCCAGCTTTGTTTAAAGTACTAACTGCGAGCGCATCCACTTCAGTTCAAGGACATGCAGTTACTGAGGCCAGAGTATTTTAATAAATAGTAAGGCAGCCACTTTTGGAAATCTAGCCTGTTTTTAGTGTTTGTGGTCTCGTCATCTTCCCTCTTGTTTGTTTCACATCAGGACTGACACGGTCTAAAAATGGGAAGAAAATCTGGTTCTGCCCACTTGTAACTTGAATTTTCCTGGTTAAAAATGTGTCTGGGGCAGAGGAGGTGGCTTATTGGGTGAGGTGCTTGATGCATGGCAGCAGCAGCAGCCATGGAAAAGGCAGGCACTGTGGCACATGCCTGTGACCTCAGCATGGGGAGCAGAGACTGGAGGCCACCAGGGGCTCGCTGGCCAGTCGGTGTAACCAATCAATGAGCTCTGTCAGTTAGAGAGACTGTCTCAAAATAGGGTAGCGCAGGAAAGGGAGACACTCCATGTCAACCTCCGGCTTCCTCGTGCACGCACATGTGCATCCCTACACAGACCACCCCTGCACACACAAGCATCTGTCTAGTGTTACTAACAGAACCCTGTCAGCCCTGTGTGCGCCAGGAAGCATGGAGAAGGAAGCTGCAGATCCGCCATAGAAGGAGGCAGTCCTATCAGCACTGTCCTCACACTGTCTCTTCGCTTCCTGGCTGGGTGGCTTTCTGTGAACATTTCAGGCATTAGAGCCCTCTGCCTTTAATGTGTCCACCATTATCAGGCCAAAGATGACAAGGAGCCAAGGCGCTGACATTTATAAGTATATGGGGACCTCAGAGTCCTTTTCACCTTAGCTGTCACCATGAGGCTTTCTGATAATAGTAGGATTTCATATTCATATTTATTATAGCGATGTACAATTTGGATCTGAATTTTAAGGCCAATACAATATTTTAATTGTATTAGCCAGGAGCTGGCACAATATAGTCAGTAAGCTAAATCCAATCTTAGGCCTATTTTTGTATGACCCCTGAGCTAAGAATGGCTTTTGTATTTTAAAAGCAGTTAAAATTTTCTATTATTTATTTATGTGTCTGTGAGCTCATTCATGCGTGCACATGTGTGTGTAGTATATGTGTTTGTGTTCATATGTGTGCAGGTACAAATGCTCCCGTGAATGTATATGTGCATGTGGTGTCCAATGGTCAAAGTTGAGGGTCTTCCTCTCCACCTTGTTTTTTTTTTTGAGACAGGGTCTTTCCCTGAATCTTGATCTCTAGACTGAGCTCCCAAGAGCTACCTGTCTCTGCTTCCACATGCCTTCCCCCAGAGCTGGGTTATAGGTGATAATGATCATGCCCGGCTGTTTGCATGGGTGACTGGACTCTGAACTCAGGTCCTTGTGACAGGGCCTACTTTTACCTCCTGGGCCATCTCCCCAGCCCCAGGTTTTATGTTTTTATTTTATTTTATATGAGTATGGCTGTTTACCTGCATGTATATTTATGTATTACTTATGTGTCTGGTACATGTGCAGGCCATAAGAGGGCATCAAGTCCCCTGGAACTGGAACTGTGGACAGCTGTGAATGGCCCTGTTGATATTAGGAGTAGACCTGGGTCTTCTGGAAGACCAGCCAGTGCTTCTGATAGCTGAGCCATCTTTCCAGCCATCAAACCTATACAATACAATACAAAACAAAAACTGTAGACCATGTATGGCCCACAACACTATTCACTATTAAGTGTATTACTGAAAGTCTGCTAAGAAAGCAGTGATATGGTGTAGCTTATTCCTGTTTCAGTGCCAGATGGGAGAAACCTTAACCCTGACCCTAACCTTGCTACAACCAGCCTGGGCTATAATATGAGACACTGTCTTTAGAAGAAACATTCAAGACATTAGAAAAAATTCAAGACAGAGAGGAGTTGTAAGCTTCCTAACCCTAAATGAGAAAAATAAGAGAGAAAAGTTTCCTGATCCTAGCGGGGTGGTGGTAGTGCACACTTTTAATTCTAGTACTCAGGGGCAGATGCAAGCAGACCTTTGTGAGTTTGAGGATAGCCTGGTCTACAGAGTGAGTTCTAGGTCAGCCAAGGCTGCTATATGGAGAAACCCTCTCTCAAAAAACCACAAACAAAAAACAAAAAAAGTTTCCTGATCCTTTTCCTAGGCACATAGTTAACTTGGCAGTAACCATAAAAACTTGGTCATATGTGGAAAAGGCAGAGAGGAACCCTGTGCTGGTGGCGGGATGGCAGAGAGCAGCCTTCTGATAGTGTTTCCTCTTCCTGCAACTGCTCCCACTGCTGAGGACCCTGGGCTTTCAGACATCCGTGTGAAAACCGCTTTTCTGGTCGTCTCGAAGGATCATCGATTAATAGCACAGAGTGTAAAGGGCTGCTCAGAAGGTCTGTGTGGACCTGCAGCTCCGTAAGCACGGAGTGTAAAGGACTGCTCAGAAGGTCTGTGTGGACCTGCAGCTCCGTAAGCACGGAGTGTAAAGGACTGCTCAGAAGGTCTGTGTGGACCTGCAGC